AAGCAGGATGTCCTAAATGTCTTACCTATCTAGGTCCAGAGGCCCTCAGGTCACCTCTTCACACAACCAAGAGGCACGGGCCCCTCAGCCATCATCTTGCCTCCTTGCCCAGCAAGTCAGTCAAGCAGCAGATGTGCTTCACCACTTACACCAGGCCATGACCTTATTCAAGAATGCGATAGGCCTCAAGGTACATGTCTGGCCAGCCAGATTCTTTGAAATATCATCCAGATGTCAAATAAAGGCTAAACTATACACTTCCTTAGTCCAGTCTTCCATCAAAATTATCCACTTGAAATGGTAGCCAGAGAAAAGTAATGACACCAGTCAGACAGCAGGCTTTTTCTTGCAAAGAACTTTGCTAAAATCCTACATTTGTTGGGTGTTGGAAGCTGAGGGGCGCAAACAGGAACCAGCGATGAACGGGCTGGGGTGTCTGATGCTGGTTACTTGTGGCAAAGGCTTGGGACATGCCTCTGTCTTGGAGCTGTTGCTGGAGTTGAACTTTGGACACTGGAAAAGTGCGGTGAATTTTCAGACGTTTTCTTTTCCCTTCAGTGGAACCTTCTTGACAGCACACACTCCAGAGAGGCACGATGCGAGAAACAGAGAGTTCTTCTTCTGCATGGCTATGTACCACCCTGCAGAGACAGTCCTCCTGTGATGCAACTGTAGGCTGTGCTCTACTTCCCAGCAAGTCCCCACTAATGGCTGAAGGTACTCAGGATCACAGGCCAGTAGAAGGCACAGGCAGGGAAGGGTAGGTCTTAGAGGAAAGGATGACACCATTTTTTGTCCATCCCCAGAGATCTTTAGTTTGAGAGAGATCCAAAGCCAGTGCCTGGATACCCTGGAATACGTACTTGTCCTCTGTCCCATTTCCTGTATACAGAGCTTGAGATTGGAATCTCTAGGATAAGAGTATCTTTTGTATACTGATGAGCTGACGGGAGGTTAGTGGCCTCTAGATAGCTTCAGGACCAGGGCTGGTCACATGAAAGTCCAAGGCATGACCAGCAGGAGGGTAGGGGAGCTCCTGACCCTTTGTAGCACCCCTCCTCCCCGGTCCATTCATTAGCATCTTCTATAATATCATTTGTGATAAATGGGAAGCACGGGTGACGTTTGTCTCTGAGTTCCTTGAGCTAGCTGCTCTAGTAGATTACAGAATCTGAGTAGAAGTCATGGGAACTCCTGTTTGGTGAGCGTTCTGCAGGTCCAGGCTTAGGTATCTTAGGTTTAAGACAGTCTTAAGGGGCTGAGCCCTTAAACTTAGAGCTCTGATTTTATGTCCAGGTGGTCCGAGTCAGAATTGAATTAAATGAGAACACCCAGGGCTGGTGTCCCCTGGAGAATGTGCCAGGGGACAAAGTGTGGTGAGAGGGCTCCCGGCACGTAGGAAAGGGCTGCTTAGACAGCAGGGAGGCGTCAGTGTTGATGGTGTTCCCCGTTGCAAAAGCTGACAGGGACTGTAAGTAGCACGTTCCCAGGCACTTTCAGGAACAAGACACCATATCTTTGGTCCGAGCCAGAGATGGAAATATTCTTGGTTCGATGGACAGCTTTAGTCCACAAATGCAGACCACAAATGCCAGAGGTGTTTAGGGCACCTGCCCCTAGTCTGCATTTTTGTTATCTTTGTTTTCGCACAGATGCCTAGAAGCTGTACACGAAGGTGTGACTGAACCTCCAAGCCAAGACATCACCACTGCCATTGGTGAAGAGCTTTGGGATTGACCTCTGTGTTTTCATCTCTTATAATCTTGGTAGCGATCTATTAATCTCTGGATCTCGTGTACTCAAGTGCTGCTTGATTTCATCTCCTCTCCTTTACAGCGCATCTGTACTCAGATGCCCCTGCTGAAGTTTAGCACCATCTGTCTGGGCTCTTATCACTTTCTAAGGTCTGAAAGTCATTAGGAGCAGAGATCCTAAGCCCTTATAAATGCCATTTCCAACCCATCTCCTAAATGATCTTAAATCTTGAGGGGGGATGTCAGTAGCTAGATAGGATCCGCCTCCATTTCCCAACCCCCGAGATTTAAGACACTATATAAAAAGGTGCAGGTGTCAGGGCTTTCTTGAAGTCCATTAAGGGAAAGCCACTGTTTCCTGGTTAAAAGAATGGAGTTTAAGTTCTGCCTCTGGCCCTGATCTGCTCCTTAGTAAGATTACCCACTACTGTTTCCTCCCTGAAGAGACTCTATCTTGGTCTGTCAGTAACCAGGCAGGCCAGAAGACCTCTTCCCAGGAAAGCTGAAGGATATGGTAAGGAGAAGGGTGGAATAATTTACCCCTTCCCTTCCCAGAAACCCTCCCTGAAGCAGCTATTTCCAGAGCTCCAGCATGCAGGGATGCGGGCTTGGAGCATCTCCTATGCAGTGATGCAGTCACTTAGAGAGTTCCACTACGCAGCCGTGCAGCTATTTCCAGAGCTCCAGCATGCAGGGATTCAGGCACTTGGAGCATCTCCTATGCAGTGACAGAGTTCCACTATGCAGCTCCGCTATGCGGCATCACCACCATCACTGAACCTGCCCATTTTTCTGAGTTCTAACTCAAACTGCAACTTTTTTTTTTTTTTTTTTTTTTTTTTGGTACTAGCAAAAAGCCTAAGCATGCTTCTCTGGCACTCTGCACTTTCTCAAATTCTCTGTCTCCAAAGTACACCGCATTCCCTAAACTTTAGTGAATCAGTACACAGGAGAAGGCCATAAGACATAGCTGATTGGTCACAAGTTTCATAGTCACTGGGAAAGAGTTTCTGGAAGGGAAGGTTTCGGGAACCAGATTCAGGGCAAATTCTGCCCTAGGCTTTTTTTTTTTTTTTTTTTTTTTTTTGAGATAGGGTCATAGTTTGTAAGCTTGGCTGGCTTGGAACTTACTTTGGACCCTATGCTGGCACCAAATTCATAAAAATTTACCTGCCTCTGCCTTCCAAGAGCTCGGACTAGGGCATATGCCACCACACCCAGCCTCTGCTCAAGGCTTTAGGCAACACTTGAGTCATGCACATAATGTAGATAGAACCCAAAAATAAACGCTGCCAACCACGTGCAGCAGCAACGGAAGAGCCCCGGCCATGGTACTGGCATTCACCTGCAACCCCAGTGCTTGGAAGGTGAGTCCAAGGCCAGCCTGGATTAGTAATGGGCCCTACTTAAAAATAAAAATAAAGAATAAAGTAAAAGCTGGGTATAGTGGTACACGCCTTAAATCTTAGCACTCCTCAGGCAGAGGCAGGCAGATGTGAGCAGAGTGAGTTTCAGAACAGTCAGAGCTGCACAGAGAAACCAACTCTCAAAACAAACAAACAAACAAGAACAAAAACCTGAAGTGATGTTTCGGCTTCTGTTCAAGATGGCAGCCAAATTAACAGACTATAGATGCAAAACACCAATAATCAACACTCTGTGAAAGAATGCAACAGAACCCAGAGTATTCACAGTCCAGTGTCCAGAACATAATCTCAAATGATTCAATGCAACTAGAACTAAAGGCTGGGATTCTAGCTCCTGACAGAAAATTGGCCTGGCATGCGGAAGACCCAGGGTTTAATCCCCTGCACCAATAAGAATAATTACAGCTGAGCACAGTAGTAGGTACATGTAACGCAGCACCTGGAGACCTGAACCAGAATTGAAAATTTGAAGGCAACGGGGGCTTCTATACAAATCATCCTAGCTACAAAGTGAGACTTTGTTTCAAAAATACCAAAAAGAAGGGTGTGGGGTGATGCAATGAACTGAAAGCACTGGGAGGTTCTATTACCTCTAACCTAATCTTTCAGATAAAGACAAGCTCAGGCTGGAGCAACAGCTCAGCTGTCAAGAGCACTGGCTGCCCTTCCAGAGGACAGGAATTCGATTCTCAGCACCTAAAAGATGGCTCATAACCATCTTTAGCGACCCAATGTCCTCTTCTGAACTCCACAGGCACCACACACGTGATACACACACTTACATGCAAGCAAAACACCCACACACATAAGATGAAAATAAAATAAAATCTCTGGGCATTCCCTTTCCCCTTATCTCACATCACCTAGAAGAGCTAACTCAGACCGGACTAAGGACTCAAACCTAATACCTGGAACTATGCAACTATAATAAGGCAACACAGAGCAAAAGCAGAGAGAATGAATGGAATCAAAACAAAAGACCTGTACAGCAAAGGTACCATCGTCAGTGAGACTGTCCTTACAGAAGGGAGACAATACTCTAAGTTATATCCCCTATCTACTACGGGATTCCTGTCCAAAGAATATAAGGAACTC